TGACAAAGGAATTCTTTTTTCGGCAGAAGCGAGCTTGACAGAATGAGAAAGTAACGACGAGCGCCCGCGCGGCCGCTTCGAGCGGCAACAGAAGAGGGAGGGAGGGTGGTACGTGCAAGAAGGGCCGGAGTATTGGTAGACACAGATGCGCGCGAGGGTGGTTGCAGGTTGATAGTCAAGACTGCCTTCAGATTCCAGAGTGAAGCATTGTGTCCCGAACGCGCATTGTCCTCCCGTCACCGGGAACTCGACAATGCCGAGTCCGTAAGTTAGTAACCCTACCGTAAAAACTTATCTCCACCCCAAACCATCGACCTCCAGCCTCCGTGATTCCGTTCGATTCCCAACCACCCGCCTACTATTCCGCTCTGCCCCGCGACTTCTCTACGCTCTTGGCCCCCTCCCCCCTTCGATCGCGGCATTGGCTGACCCTAACCGGGGACCAGGTCCGACTATCGAGACTGCAACAGAACTTCGTTGGTCGGAGGTGCTACCGCGCTTCTGCTACCGCCGAAGAGAACCTGGCACCTTCTACAGCTGTAGAAAATAGTTTTACACCGAGGTGCTAACTCGAAACCATCAGCGTGTAGCGACTATCGCGCTTCTCTTGCCACCGAAGCGAACCTGGTATCCTCTACGGCTGTAGAAAGCAATTCACGAGCGAGGTGCTAACTGGAAACCATCAGAATGTTGCAAAACCGCGCTTATGCTACCAGTAAAGAAAACCGGTTATCTTCTACAACCGTAGAAGTCGTCAGTATTTTCCTATAAACTACTATTTGCAATGAAATCAAGGATCACAATGATAAGAAGAATGGCTGGAAACGTTCGTCGATATTCGATCTCTGATAGACAATGTGGCCTAAACGTGACGCAACGGACACTCGGGATTTAATAGAGAACAGAATCTACAATTTAGTTCTACAGAATCCAGGAAATGAGAATTACGAAGCCGCCTAGCAAATTAACGACCAAAATTGTCGCGGATCAGCGACGTCGTTTCGTCGATTGAAATTAAAAGTAACAACGCTTCGAGGTTGGCTCGACGATCCAAGGGCCCGCCGTCGTTCAAGATGATCGTTAAACCCTCCCGGTTTGTTCCGAAATCGAATTCGAATTAGCTTCGATTGGAACCGCGAAACGTTGGGAGCAGACCGTGGACCGTTGAACGAGTCGAAGAAGTCGTTGGTCAGCAAGCGCAGAGGCACTCACCGGTCGGAAGTGAACGTCCTGGGGACCGGATACAAACATTAGGGGTTGGCGGGCGGTCCTCTCGTTGGGACTCAAGTTGCCGAGCAGCCGGACAACGCGTGGTCGCCGGACAAAGCTCTTCTAATTGTCCCCATCAACGACGAAGAATGGACCGCGGGCCTGCCGCTGACAATTTCATTTGTAATTTGCATAAGGCTTATTAAAATCACAATGGACGTGGACCCACCGGGGATGCTCGATCGAGGTGGCCGCGGGCTTCTTTTTTTGGCCCGCTCGATAGAGAATAATCAACGGTGACCGCTCTCTGCGCCGGTAATTCGTGCTTAATAAGGAGCAGGACTCGTTCGCGATCAATTGCCCGAACAGATTTAAATATCATTGGAAACTGTGTGGTGTACTCACTCATTCGCCGATCCAATAGTCAGTCAGTCTCTCTTTCTCTCTCTCTCGCTCTCTCTTTCTCTCGTATCCATGACAATAATCCACGGGCACACTCGCATTCACTCGCACTTCAAACAACCCGGATCAAAAATGTGAAACGCTCTCCGACGAATTATCCGCGAACGAAAACTGATACCGATGTCCACGGCGAACTAGAAAAGACAACGGGGATTCGTTAAAGAACAAAAAGAATCGGCGAAAGAAGCCGGCCGCGCCGATAAGGACCCCCGTGTTTCCCGAAATGTGTCGCGCACGTGAAAGACGGCGCGGGACTGAGCCATCTCAAAACGCTATCATATCGCGCGCCGCCACATTCCCCCTCCACTTTCTACCAAAATGCGTCTACGCATCTCGCAGGACCAGGATGGGAGTCGTCCTGGAGAACGCGTCGTTTCCGCGCAACGTTTTACAATCACCGAGCTGTTCTTTGCCAAGTGTTTTTATTGAACGCTAAAGAAATGCTACAATTACGGAAAAGAAACGGGAGGCGCGGTTAACGTTGCTGCTTGCCATGGTCGTCGGTTCGGTGTCGGCTCGTTCCGATCCTGATATCTTTCAGTGCCTGACCCTCGGACACCGGTTCGCCCAAACGCAAACGCGATTCGCGTCGCGGACGAACCCTTCGCCGCAGACGCATCCCGCGACGCAGTCCGCCCGATGGGTGCATGCGACGGAGTCCCATGTGTCGATGTTGTCGCAGCTCTTCACGCAATCCGGATTTCCGCCGCACGAACTGTAAACCTCGTTCTGACCGCATGTCTTGACGACGATCGCTTCGGGCTCTTCGAAAAAGATCAGAAAGTTGTACTTCGCCGTATCGTTCTGTCGTTTTTTTTTTCTTTCTTTCTTGGATTTTAAAAAGAAACTTACTGTAGAGAAAGGTCGCCGTGGTCTCCAGTCTCGCGACGATCGCGATGAAAGCGGCCGCGAAAGCGTAGCTCTTCATTTTTCTTGGACGAACGCGTACGAATGCGAATAGGCGAGCGCGGGACGTCCGTTTAAATAGTGGGACGCGAACGCGATATCCGAGTCGCCGACGATATCGATAAACCAGTTCAACACTTTGAAGGCAATGGTCTGGAAATGGCTCGCCGGGAGATAAAAGTCGAATTACAAACAGAACGATACACGCGACGAACGGTTTTTCCATTTCCTTTTTCCCCCCCGAGCGTCGAAGCGTTTCTTCAAAGACGAAGAGAAAAACTCTCTTTGGCTTTGTGGTTTCGTGTTTATGTATTTGCCGATCTCTTTGAATTTTACAGCAACTCGTTTACATACAACATATATAAGTGTCTTACTAGGTAAATTACTCGTATGATACCTTAAAATAAGTATTTGTAATAAACGTGGGAGGAGGGGGGACTTGGTGAACAAGTGTATTCCAGAACAAAACGTTGCGGGAGTAGAATCCGGTGGTGCTGTGGTCTCGTTATTCGATGGACCTGTTTCGTTTCATTTATTTCCCTCGGTTAATTAATGTTCTTCTCTCGAGCCGACGAGTCGCGACTCGAAACGGCTCGATAAATCAAGGTTAATTAAACACGCCTTTTATTCCGCTCGTTTTACTGGCTAGTGTGTCGCGAGGGTGTGTCGAGACGGGGGATTCCCGACGAATTGATCGAAAAGGATCTTCACGGGGAAGGTAATTGTGTCCTTAAAAGAGCCATGTATTATCCACTAATCTTGATAATGAATGATAATGAAAAGCCACTCGTGTGTGCGTGAAAAGTCTACCGCAAACGAACGCTTCCCTTCGAAGCTTCTCTATCAATCTCTCACTCACTCTCTCTCTCTCTCTCTCTCTCATTCGTGTTCTATTCTTAATTATTTACGGGACAATCATTAACGTGTAAAAGAAAGAGAACGAGTCTAAGAGTAAGTACCAAGTAATATTCTTTCGCTAACGTTAAATAAAATGAAAAGGAAACGAAGGGTTTCACTGTCTCTCGTGTGGAGCGCACAGTGTCCCTAATGAATATTTACTATTTAACATAGATATTCGCGAGCATGACAATCGAGCGAAACGACGGCTCGTCAACGTATCAGCCTGCTAGATAAAAAGCTAAGGGGATCGTAAAGGAATAAGGTGCATTTCTCTCGACCGTCATGTCTACGGTGTTACAATGTTTCTGTTGTTTTATATGCAATGTTATTCACCTTCTCGTTAGATTCTCCATGTTCCGTTTCCGGCTCGTTTCGAAGTGTATCGAAGCAGTTTCGATATGGTCGCAATTTCAGAAAAGTGTCTCTCTCACGTGAATCCGATCGGTGTCTAAAGTCCGAGAAAAAGTTTGAACTATATCACAGACGAAGGAGAAGAATCGAAGAAGCAGCAACGGCAACCGGGAGGGAGTGTTTCTACCAAATCTTAGCGGCAAGGGCTCTCTGCATTAAAACATTCTTGCTTCGCTGCTTCATGCGCTCAATGAAGTACTCCTTGCCGTCCAGGTTCTCGTTGTCAGGTCCAACCTCCTCATTCTAGCAACAAACGAGAGTTAGTTGGCTCCTAGGTCGGTCGTTCCTTGCACGTGTGGCTCATCACCATCATCACCATCATTTCATCCTCATCTTATTATTCCAGATATCATCGTCATCCAGATTATCATGATCGTCATCACGGAGACAGGCTGTTCTTTCGCGAAAGTCTACGCGGAAGAGACCTAACCAACCTTGTTAGCTGTGTCGCCCCCCTCGCCCTCTCCCCACCTCTCGTAGTCATCGTCGTCCCTCTCTTCTCCCTCGCTCAAAGGTCCGTCTTGCCTCTTGCTCGGTGGTACGTTGGATCCTCCGCCGCCCTGTTGATGCTCCATCACGTCGTCACCGCCCTCGAGCATCTTGTTTATCTTCTCTTTCGCCTCGTCGACCTTCCTCATCGGATCAGGCGAGTAACTGCGATCGCTGTAACGATCGCGCGACGCGGCCCGCCGATCTCTGAAGTCCCGCCTGTCCCTGAAGTCGCGGAAGCCCTGTTTGCCGTGGAAAAATCTGCCGCCACGATTACCGCCGCGTCCCCTGCCGCCACCGCGGTTGTTGAACCCGCCGCCGCGCCTGTTGCCGAACCGATTGTTATGCTGATTGTTGTAGAACCGGTTTCGGTTCTGGAAATTGTTGCCACCGCCGCGATGGTTCGGATTGTTGAAGCTTTGGAAGCGGGGCTTGTAGTAAGTGCCGCGATTGTTGTATGGCCGGAACTGTCTCTTGCGGTAGTAGCTTCTGTCACCGGACCTGCTGCGACTACGACTCCTCGTGTACGATCTGGATCGTGACCTGGACCGGGATCTGCTGTACGTGCCCGACGGCGATCGACTGTATTTTCGTTCGTAACTACCCGATCTTCTGTTCGAGTACGATCGTGATCGACTTCTCCTGGGCGATCGAGATCTGGACGAGCCAGAGCTGGAGGCACTGCGCGATCTGCTGCGCGAACGCTTCGCTGGACGGTCCCTGCTCATTCTCTTGGTCACGCCGCCTCTGCCGGTCGACTCTCGTTTCTTAGGCGTCTGTCTATGCTGCCGTTCCGCTTCGCTATCCGAGTCCGTCCTGGGTCCTTTGGCTTGGTTCTGATTTTTCGTCGGCGGAGGCGGACGAGGTGGTTCGGGCGGATGGCCGCCACCGCTGTTGCCGCTCTGGCCGATCGGTTGGAACTTGCCGCCCAAGTTATTGCTCGAGCTGAACTTCGTGGGCGTCGTCTGCGGCGCGGATAACGACGGGTCTTTGTACGATTGGAATTTGTTTTGTGGCTGAGGTGTCGGGTACTTCACCGGAGCTTGTTTCGGAATAGGCGGCTCTTTGGGCAACGGCGGAGGTGTAGGCGCGGACATCGGCTGAGCTTGCGCGGCCCTCTTCTCTGCTAGCTCTCGTTGCATCTGTTTGCGGATGTTCATCGACTTCTCCAGGGCGGCGCGCTGCAGCTTCTCCTCCAGCTCGTTATCGTCATCCTCTTCGCTGTCCACGTTCGCCTGCATCTTTTTACCCTCCGGAGGCACGTCTTGCCATTTCTGGGGCATCACGTCCTTTTGTCTAGACACACAAAATTATGGATAAGGTCCGGGTTTCCATAATGATCGTGTACCAGCCGACGATCAACTTACCTAGCAGCCTGCGCAGCCTTCCACTTTGCATTGAGTGCGGCTGTGTCAAGTGTGGGCAACTTTGGCTCCGGGTGTATCAACTGGGACTCTTGTTCGAATATATCGGTGAGAGGTTTCCTTTGAATCTCTGAAAGATCGAAGTCTGCATTAAGTGGAATGTAGCACGTACATTGCAGCCTGGTTCGCGTGGGAATTCATGGTGTTACCTTTACGCTGCTGTGCCGTCATCGGTATTCTAGACTCGCGCTCGTGATACGCCTTCGACGCCTCATCTCTCTCCCTTTCCCTCTCTCTGCGCAGCTCCTCCTCCCTCCGCGAACTCTCAGCGAGCTTCTCCGCGTTGCTAAGAGGGGAAGGTATGTCATTATACTGAGCTACATACCTAGTAAATATAAAAACATAAATAAAATACGACGCGTCAGGGACCGCGTTTCCATTAATGTTTCTTTTAACAAAGCTAGACCAAGCGCCGGCGACTTGGCCGATAGCAGACAAACGAAATGCAAAGTACGCTCCTCGACTGAGAAATACGATCATGTAGTAACGAGACGAACAAGAACGAAACGTTTATCGTTAACTGGCTACGATTCCAACCTTTTTAAGACAGCGGTTTCTTTCTCAACCTTCGCGTAGTACGCGTTCAGTTTCGACTCGAGTTGCTCCAAGTCTGGCAACGAGGACTTTTTCAGAGCCTCCAAGTCCCGTTCCAGCTTATCCTTGTTCTTCCGTTTCTTTCTTTCCTCCTTCTTCTTCTTCTTTCGACTTTTCTTGTCCTCTTTCTCTTTGTCTTTCCCCTTCTTCTCTTTCTTCTTCTTTTTCTTCATTTTCTCGCTTTCCGAATGTTTCTTTTCCTTCTCCCTTTCGCGTTTCCATCTGGCGGTCTCTTCCAAGAACTTTCTTACCTGCGCACACACGAAAGACAAAGATCCACGATCGAAGTGAACGAAATAGATATGATCGATCGAACAATAGCGATAAGAATGTGTAACGTAACGGTGGGCTTACCTTATCTTCGTAATCGGAGTCGTCCTTTGTCTGTTCGAGAAACTTTCTCACTTTGATCTCGTAATCGTCCATTTTGTCGCGGGTATTCGACGTGTAAGAAACAGGAGCTATCACGTCGTGAGCTGCAGTCGTCGCTGCTGGTGGATTATTGTACTGAGCCATGCGCTTGCTCAGAGGCGACAATGACCCACGATGATCCTTCTTATGTTTCCGCTTGCGACTAGGCGATCTGGACGCTGATCTGGAACTTCCAGAAGAAGAAGAACTGCTGGACTCCGAGCTAGAGGAGCTCGAGGACCCGCTCGACGACGAGCTGGAGCTGGAGCTCCACCTTTGTCTTTTCTTCGATCGCGATTTCCTCTCCTTCTTACGCTTCTTCTTCTCTTTCTTATTCTCACCGACATCGTTCTCTGCTTCGAAGCTTTTGAACGTATCCAATGGGTTCAAAGACGAGGTCAACGTCTTCGACTTTATGTACTCGATCGAATTCCTGGCCTCCTCGTGGAACGGAGCGATCGCTAGACAGTTCTCGTACGCTTTCTGCGCGTCCTCGTACTTTTTCTCGTCTTCGTAACTTCGTCCAAGAGCAACCAGAGTCTCCGCCATGTACTTGCGAGCGTTCGCATGAGTCTGATTTAGCTTCAACGCAGTCTCGAAGTCATCGATCGCTTTCTTGAAGCTGCCACTATTCGCATACCTGTCGAAAACATCAAACGGGTTGTACGGCTTCAGTGGTAAAGTTGAATAACAAAATCCAATGAAATTCGCGGCTCTTAAGCCGTCGATACAGTTCGTTCGAATTTTTGCAACTTACAATGCTCCACGGGCTACCAATCCTTCGACGTTCCGTGGGTCTACGGTCAATGCTTTGTTGAGGCATTGGAAAGCCTCTGTGTGACGGCCGGCCTTGAAGTGGTCTATTCCTTCGGCCACGCTTCGGAACGCCCACTTACTGGCTTGCGCCTGCCTTAATTCAGACGCATATTCATTAGGTGGGAATCTCTCCCTGAAAAGTTGCATCGAAAGATTATAGAGAGATTGTCTTCTAGTCGGAGTCGAATCGGTACTCCCTCTCTCCCACACTATGGTGTACAAGTTTTATGTTTAATGTCCCAGTTCGTCGGCGAACATACGCCGAGATCATTGGGTGAGTTTATCAAGAACTGTAGACCGCAATATGAGGCAGAGGGAATTAGAACAAAGGAAATCGGAGTGATAAGATTTGTTTACCTCAAACCAACCAAATTGGAATGGTTCTCTTGGCCGAGGCCCATCAAGTCGGATAGATATTTTATGTTGTTGGGGTTGTTGAAGCCAGTACTATTCTCCAACATCACTTCGTACGATTGTCCTTTGTTGTCCATCGCTTTCCTACACCACAAAGAGAGAGGAACGATTATTGAGATGCAAAAATCGTTCTTGACCTTTGCCAAAGAAAGGATACCAAAGCTACTTCGTTAACGGTAAAACTAAAGACTTGATAATCATGACGACCGAATTTCCTCGTTCTCGTTTTATAATGCGTCCTGGGCTCGGTTATTGTTATCCTGGTAGAGGGTTTTTCTTTCGATTATCAATTGTAGGCTCTTCGGTTTTCGTTTTCGACGTCTCATCGTCTTTATCTATATAGCTATACGTATACATAAATAGTGTACAGATCCTTCGGCTTTGTTGTATCCCTTACACGTGTGCGCTTTAAAACGTAAGGTACACCAAATCGTTGCTCTCGTTTCGCCTCTGAGTATAATCAATCGTTTTCGTTCCTTCTGCCTCGATCTACATGAATTATTCAACGATACGACACTAATGCCAAAGATGCTTCAAGAGGAAACACGTGTAGGATTCCGTTTATTTCTTTTTTTTTCCGTTCGGAACGAGAAACAAAGAATCAAGAAAAAAAAGCAAGAGACAGGGAAAATGAAATAGAAGAGTGAGAAAGTACGGAAGAGTAAAGAAAGAGCGATTAATATCAGACACCTCGTGGTATTAGAGTCGATCAAAATCTACGTTTGTACCGTTAACAAGCAGCAGGGGTCCATAACAGGGATTAACATTGGCGGAAAAAGTTGGTAAATTTTTTCCTTTATTACCAGAGATTATTATTTCTTATTTATAAATTTACAAATGGTACACAACCTCATTATTATGTAAACTCGTCTCTCACCTTTCATGTACCGCTAAGACGTATATTTCTAGTATTTTGTATCATGTTTGTAATCAGAGGAGTTCTCAACACAAAAGCACACAGCCTATCATCGATCGACGGTGGTTTTTCGGTATTTTTTATACAAGTATGGTATAGTTTTTTTGGTGCGATAAAATAAATTGCATAGCCCTAGGATAGGTTGGGAGCCACGCCTGAGTATATTTTATCTTCCAAGTTGACCAAAAAAATTGTATTTTTTTAGATGCAGTAGCAGTACTGTCGTCTGTTTTTTTGCATTTTGTGGTGTCAATTCAAACATGACATCGTTTTTTTAGATTTTTTATTTGTCAATTTAAGCTGTAAGTTTAAATGAGGCATTATTATGACAAGGCGCGATTCTTTTGAGGCTTAAAGGTAAAGGTTCGGGCGATTAAGATTTTGGTTGTTTGGTCCCTGAATTCGAGCACCGATTCGCATTGCCGGAATATCGCTCGATTAGGCACAACACGGAGAACAACATATGCACAGACGGATTACGAAATGGAAGCAGCGCTGATTAAATTTTGTCAGTGTTAATATTATGGTATAGAAATAGGAAAGCATTTTAATGAAATGCTTCGAACAATCGACAGATCATTTTTGGAAAGGATGAGATATTACTTTGGTTCACGAATTCACTGCTTTGTCGTTAAAATATACCAGTAGAGACCAAACAACGGTAAATCATTATTATACCTACCGTCTGTAGCACTCACTCTGACCACCCAAGGCTCAACATCTCATACTGGAAATGCAACCTCAAAAGACATTGATGTCATTTGGCGCCATAGTTTGGCTGGTGCTTTGAGAGTAACATATCACAAACGTAGATAGAATATTGTGCGCAACAGAGCCATGTCAACCAATGCTCAAGGTTTGAATCATTTGTATCACATTAGAAATTCATCATCATACTGACTATCAACTTTTTACGTTACTGAGAGTGTCTGGCACCTAAATTCATAAAAACGTGTAAGAGGAATCAAATCTAATTTACCTTGTTTTGTTAGTATCACAGTGCGTCTGTTAAATCTCAACCTTCTTTCGGCCACCATACTATTTTCCTTACCTTTTCTCTTTTATATCGATTTTATTTTATCAACAATAAAACAGTTTTAGGAAAAGATTACTAAGGATACAACAAGTTTGAACTCTCACGTATTATGCAAATTAAAAACAGGCGTAACTATATACTCTCTGCCGATAGAGAATGTATTTCAAACACGATCGAGATTTATTATTATTACGATTATCGATCCTAAATCCAAGACTACCACTGACAGAGGAAGGTCTCTCTCCCTGCCTTCAGTTAGTGCAACAGTGCTCTCAAAATACGTATCGCATTTATGCAAACGATCCTAGAAAACAACTTTTTCTCTTACTGTTTTGTATTCTTTCTCATTTTTCGTTTGAGTTTTAAAATAAAAACGTTCAGTAGCAAGTGCTATGGATGCACCACAAAACACTTTTTTTTACCAGTTCTATTGTGTATATGAAATTCCCTACAGTGATATGTTCATGTCAGTATACAAGAGTTAGTGAAGCGTTATTTGTAAAATACAAAAAAAAAGTCTAAATTGTACTTATCTTGGACGTCGGGTTACTTACTTATAAGCTTCCGGAAGATCATCCGAATGGATAAGTCCCATAGGTGGGTGTGGGGCTTGCCCTTCGCGGGCGGGTACGTTCATAACTGCAACGACTCGCTCGGCTTCAACGTTAACTTCACTGACTACGACGCAGATGAGATCATTTGCCATGTAGCTTCTTGTAACACCTTTCTTGTCCACCGCCGGCACTGTGGCCGTGTTCAATATCAGAGCCTAGACGATTACATAATGCCGCAATGAGTGAATGGAAGTTATTCGAAGCCTTATCTAGAACTACTTCTGATAAAAAAAAGACTATGTACCTTTACTCCTAAATCAGTAACAACCCTGGGGCAATCACTGCAGTTGCAGAGCACCTTCAGAAGAAGCCCAGCAGCACTTTTACCCATCACTTGCGCGTATATAACATCCCCAACCACCAAACTCTAAAGAGAAAAAAGAAAAGGAAATTATCAAATGCTATTTAAATTTTATTAATAAATTTTCAACATTAAATCACAGATTTTTAAACATTCGTAACTATTTCCTCGGGAAAAAAAACCTGTGTAAATTTAATGCATATTGCATAAATAATAAATAATTACCTCCAAAAAGTTCCGTATACGTTGTGACTTTTCCATGGTGACATAAGTGTCAAGGCCGGGCATTGTTGCGTAAAACTCTGGAAGTACAGAGGCAATCCATAAGTTGCGCAATATTGTGCAATCACCAGAAAAAAACTATCTCAATGGTAGTATATTCTTACCTTCGTCTCCCAATTCCTGCTTGATAGGTTCAACAGTTTTGTCCAAATTTGACTTATCATAGAGGGCATCTGCCTTCTTTGCAAGGAATTGTTGCAGCTTTAACCTTTTGCCCCTATCACCGAAACTGCAGAAACAAGAAAAGGAACACCCAAGTTGTAATGCACGCGCGAAACAACAGTAAACAAAGCGATTCAAAGGTTACGCACCTAAGTGTTTTCTGCCGTTGTTGGTAAATCTCAAAATTAGGTTCCTTGAGATTGAGCATGGCCAGCTCATTTTCGTTGCGTTCTCCTTCCCACACTTTCTGCAACTGTTGGCCATGGTAGTTCAATGCTTGCGCGACAAGACGCGCATCCATTGATTCCATTTTGATTCAGAACTGCAAGCAACCTAGTCCTGCAATACTACGAAAATCGGCAGATTCGTAATGATTTTCCAATTTTCACCGTGCCAAGTACTATCTGAATCGACAAAGGAAAAGGACTTAAATAGCTGCCTCTCCGACCGATTGTCCGAAATTGGCATGCAAAAAAGGACCATCGTCCAACAGCCAAGAACACGTGTTTTTTTGTCTATACGTATATACATATATATATACATACATATATATATATATATACTTTTTGTCTATCTTATTTTGGAATAAATGAATCACTATCTCTCCACGATGTGATTGTCCAGATAAATGATATTCTGGGCACCGAAATTCGGCTTGGTCGAACCCTATAGAGCGAGAACGTATGTGGTCTCGTATAGCTTATCCGAGTATGTACCGTGAATCATAGCTCCAAAAAGGGGATGGTATTCTCTGCGCAAGAACGCGCCCAGACACAAGGAGAACTCTATTGAACAAGACCGGTTTCCCTCAAACGACATTTACCTGTGGCCGTTGATATTCCTCCAACGTATTGCAATCAACGACGATAAATCGAATCGATATCCGTGGAATATTCTTTATATGCGAAAGAAACGCTTACGCAGGAGGAAAGCCGCGTTATATTGATTTATCGATAACAAGATGGTCGTCGGGAAGCCGGATTGCGAAGGCCGACGTCGCCATGACGCTCCCAAATGGCCACCTCTCATTTAATCCGACGCTCATCCACGCTCGCTTTTTTTTCAAATCTGCCGCGTCAGATCGGCCAGAAAAGAACCCGGATTTTTACTCACCGTTGCTCCCGTATTATCTTCCGACGATCTGTTTATGCGCTTTCCAAAAATATCACGGTCCACTTTGCAACATCGTCGACGACCAAACAACTGCGTGTCCAACTTTCTCCATACACCGAACACAAATCACGATTGCGCCAGAATCGGAAACGAATAGGCCTGGACGCGTTTGCGCAGCGTCGTTCTCTCCGCACCCATGCTCGCAGCGCCACCACTTCCGGTTTGCCGAGAGATTCAAAATAGAAAGTTCGTACGATCTGGAAACGGTGTAATCGAATGATTTGTGGACGAATTATTTTGTAATTTTTGTAGTTCGTGGAGCGATCCCGTACAACTATCATTAAAAAATCGAATTATTTACAAGTAAGAAATTCGAGTTTCATAACATTTTTATTTGCATTTTACATAATACAAAAATGCGGGGGAAATTCAATGTAGAGTGGATTATCGTTTTGTCGATGGAACGATAATCTTTTGTCTAATTACATTAACGATTAAAATTTTACAGATATTTGTATTTTTTTCGTGAAAAGAAGCTTTTCACCTATCGTTAGCCCTGCGCCCGCTTGGTATTTTTCATTCGTTGCTCTACTTCGGATGCCGACACCATTAAAGTACGTATTATTTGACAACATTACTATTCAGCCTTCTTTGCTTTTTCTTTGGAAGATAATTTTACGTTCCAGTAGTATAAAATTTGGAATGCGATTACCGCATTTGCGAACGTGGAGCATGTATACATTACTATCATTGAGGTATCTCCTGTTTCTTGAACAGAAGTAAATATTCTTGCTAGAGATCCAAAGAACAGCATAAAACCAGTTACTGCTGATAACTGACCAGTACTTCCATAGGAATAATTTGTGTAGGCTTGTATAAACTAAAATATAGCAAATTATATATTATATATAAACTACATATAAATTTTTAGATATCATACCTTACTAATAAGAACAATGGGTATGTTCATTGTTTGGCATCCCCAAAGTACGTTCGTTGGGGTCCTACCGCTCACAGCTTCAGCTACAATTGCTACATAAGCAATAAAAAATACGGCTGCATAAGTAGTATTACCATTAAAGTGTAACACTAAAACTGCAATTGCTAATGTTTGTAACCCTAAGAAAACTCCATCCCCCCAAGAACTGAAAACATATTGATTAACGAAAATGTATATATTTAAAAAGATCGGAAAATCATTTAACGTTAATCAGCATCCTGTGCATTATATTACCTGAATGGAAAGCCGCTGACAAAGCTGTAAGACACCATTGAAGTGATGGCAAGCAAGTCTAACAATACACTTACAAAATTAATGCCTTGTGCACTTTTGCTCTTTAAAATTTTTAAAACTTGTGGGACCTTGACTAAAACGATAATAGAATGTTAGGAAAACAGTAAAACATGCAATTATCATACAAAGTAGTTTCCAATTCTTAAAAACATTTTGTTTATTCAAATATCAAGAATCAGTAAACATACGAACCGAGAAAGGAGCCACAAATAATTGCGAGGCCTAGGCATTTGCTGAGGGTCGCCTTGAAACATCCCACTGAAACATTTCGACGATTTACAAATTTTATTTTATGTGGTTTATATCTTTTCCGAGAAAAAATACTCATTTTGAATTCCGCGGAAGTATATCTATATAAAATATCTCAAAGAAATGGCAATTTTAAATATGCCATCGGAAAAAAATGAATATCGTCGAGCGATCGTCGCGGAGGTATCTATTCGATTATTTGAAAATTTAATACTCCAAAAATAATTCGATATCAATACCGTTTAATGCTGAAAATTCGAAGAATATATATATGTATACATATGTAGAATATATATATGAATATATATATTGTATCCAGAAATAAATGGAATTAAAAAAGAGATTCCTATTTACAAAGACTTAAGTTTCCCCCGTTTTGAATGATTCTCACGGTGATTCACGCAATATCCGACGGTACAGTAGTTCCAAATAATAATTACATATCTGTTTTTTATGCAATCTATGCGACGTTTCAATTAAAAACAATGAACTAAACATAAAAAATATTAATGATCTTACCATCAAGAAAATTGTACTCTTCAAAGTATTCCTCCATACATTTTTCCGACAATATTAATAAAGCGACTTTCTTCAATGCTTCCGTCATCTTTGCCACGACATATAGTTCTTCCGATGGCTTCCTGAAATGTGGACTACACTTCGAACTACGTTTAGGTTATTGGCTAACAACTTTCAACAACCAAAACCTTCCATATCAATCGCTAAATTGTCACTAATTGTCACTGCAGTGCAATTCCTATTCGACTATAGCACCATAGACGAGGTATCGGAGTTGACTAGACACCATGTAGGGTTCCGTGTCACATGTTCTGGAATACCGACAATGCTAACAACAGTTCTGTGGCGCCCTCTGCAGCCGAGAAATTTGTAGCTGAAGATTCATAATAGATATCGTGTCTATAATTATCTGTAAGAAAACATTATTTTACAAATATCGAAACCTCATTTGCAAATCGACGAGCGCGACACGGGAATGGTAATGGTGCTTCTGAAACACCATTTCTGGGTAACAAAATTGGGTCTCAGATCGATTTCTATACCTCATCTGTGATAATACAGGGGCTCAAAGTCTCTTCCAATACTTCGTCGGTATTTTTACACCGCGATCTTCTCGTAGTTATTTGAATTCATTTTTGTACCGACTATAGCTACCTAAGGTCGAATTAAGATAACTCTTTCCGATTAGTGGCGCCATCCGTGGCGAAATGCTGAAACTTATCTCAATGGTCATCTTCTGACAACTCTTAATCGACTGTCGACAATTTGGCTAACAGTTTGAGCGTTTTGTCACTACCCCAATTGGCGCTGTACAGACCCCGAACGAAGCTTCATTTTTTCTCCAGAAGAGGCGCCACGATCGCCCGCTTGTCCATAATGCAGGATCGCCGAAGAAAATTAATAACGACGTAACTAGGATAAAAACAAGATAGCCGAGGGCACAAAAGCTGTTCGGGTGAAAAAACATACTTAACTAACATTATAATCCATTAAACATCAAAATACAATGTAATGAATTAGAGCGGCACGGTCTTTAAATCTCCTATATTTTAAGAAATCATAACCAGACATGATTATACGATTTTAAGACGCACATTCGATGGGATGTATTGCTACGCGTATTTTGAGATCAAGAACATCAATTTCGAGCTATTAATTCTCGAGTTATTTATTTTGTTCTGTTTTTGAACTTCCTAGTTTCGCCGCTGGACGGCGCCACCGTTCAGTTTTCCAATCGCTTTCATTATTCCGTTAATTATTTAACTGTTGCGCGATTTTTACATTGATTTTTTGCATCGAGTAAATACCGCATATTCTGATCGATATTTCCGCGATGTCGAAATAGTTTTCGTTGCCGCGTAACGTTCATAATTCCAGTTTTTCTAAACCTACACAATTTCTATTTAGCAGCGGTTTAGCTCACTCGTTGTTTCGTTAATTGTTTAATCACTGAGCGATTTTTAACCCAAGTTCTTGGATCAGATCGATGCGGAAGACTCTTCTGAATATTCCCCTATCGCGAGAGTTCTTTTTCTCGCTGTAAATAAGCCGTGTATCGCGTTTCCCCAAACCCATGTATTCTCCCCATATAAGAATTTTAGTTCGGCGTCCGCCGCTATGTGGTGCTAGTGCGCCACGGCTCGTGAAATGCCCGTTTCCGAAGAAAACCCTGAATAGCAATAATTATCGAATTCCGAGATATACAATATGTTCGATGCATCGAATCACTGTCAGTATTTTGAAATCAAGTATTTCAATTTTCAGCGACTTCTGCTTACGAGTTATTTAAGTTTTAATGATCATTATTCGCCAGGTTTCGCAACGTGTTGCGAACGGATTTCATATTTGATAAATTCGAAATACCAGTGGCGTTATCGTAATTACAAGTAACGACGCTAGTTTCGATTTAATCATCGAAACCGGTGGATGATTTCTATCAGCATTCAAGAAACGAACGGAAACATGTTTGTAATCAATTGTAATGATGTTTACTTCTTCGTCGAGTGCTATCGAGTTACCTTGGAATTCCAAGGTAATAATTATTTATAATAATTATTATAAATGATAATAATAACGGATGAAATAATTTAACCATCGTTACGGTGTGCCGATGGGGCCCAATAAGTACGTCTTTATGCAAGTATACACAACAAACTGATCGAGCATTAATAATGAAACAAGATAACAGCCTTATACTATAGAATATTAAAACGTGAAATTTAGAGAGGCCAACATCTCGTTGCCTATTTCCACGATTTACCGTAAGTTTCGTCGTTGGTTTTCAGATTGTAGCAAAAACAGTTAATCTTCGCCTTTATTTCATGACACACGAAATAAAAGATAATCGAGTCGAGCGAGATGGACAGAGAGATAGTGGCGCGATATGGGAAATAGACACGCGGAGGCTATTGAAATAATCGCCGATTGTAATATTCGGACAAAGATGACGCTGCATAATACAGTAATGTCTCCCTAATCGACGCTCAGATTGTGTACGAAAATGGACAATTTGGGAAGAGGAGATACGATTATTTGAGCCCTGCAGCTCGTTCTTATAATTATTTGTAAATGTCTGGCATTTTCAATGCTATTGAAAATGGATAATTTGTATTGTTTTACGGCCCTGTCCGTTCTTTAGGTAAGACGGCCCTTGCGGCCCATCTGCGGGGCACGTGAGCGCTAAACGCGCGTCGACTCGAGTCGAGGAAATTTTGACTCGAAAGTCCGTTACACGGATTGGTTATTTATGACCAATAAAGATTTTTCGACCGATTCGATTTTTTTTGCGGGTCTTCCGCGTTTTTAGTCAGTCGTCGGTGAGCAGCTTACGGGTACACTCGTTGTCTCTAAGCTCTTACGAGCAAGTCTGTAGATTAGATCTTGTGTTTCCGCGTGTTCAATAAATATACTTTTACCTAAAACTCTGCCTTTAATTATTTGCAAGCAAATAATCAACATTATCGTCAATTCGTAACTATAAAATCGAACCGCAAGGCTCGAATAATCGTATCTCCTCTTCCCAAATTGTCCATTTTTGTGCGCAATCTGAGCGTCAATTACAGAGACATTACTGTACATCGTACATAATATTTTCGAGCGAAAAATCGGCACACGGCCTTCTCGCGTTGCAAATCGATGAAGGCGCGTAAAGTTGTCGCGAACTGCGACAGATACGGAATAGTGTCGCGGAACGCGATGACACACGCCTGTGTGACACGCGCCGTTGTTTCGTGTACGGAGGAAATAGTTTACAATCAGGGATCGAGAAATCGAAATCCGTAATGATCCTTTCGCAGTCCTAAGGAGTAGACGTAATGTGCGTATATTTACTTTAGTACCCACCTGTTGCCGTAACCCAGTTTCTTACGTACACCAACTGGGAAGTTTTTCAACTTTCCAAGAATTCCTGAAATTCTGTGGACCTTTGTGCCGTATGCGAGCGGGAGAACGGTCGATCGGACCGTGCCGCATGTAAATTCTGGGAAACATTACGATTAATGTTACAGTCACGATTACGATTACGATTTCGGTAGTTACGGATCGTAGGGCAGCAACGTTGCTCCTTGCTGTTCGGACACGAGGCTAGGACAGAATCGACGAGATATTGACAATAAATCAATTCTTCGTTCGAATTACGATTATTCTTTGTCCGTTCGAATATTAACCCTTAGCGCTCCACGCGTTTCTCGAGTACTACCAGCAACTCCGGCACATTTTTGGAGCAAAGCGCCCGAGACAAAGGAAGTCTTATTTTGAGCGGAAAAGATTACACGTCCTTGTTGCGGGAACTGTGTACTTTCGAAGATCGAATTAGACAGCAAATTGAATTATTTGCAGCAAATGTCACAACGTTCGGAACCAGTTTCGATAAACTGATCATCTAAATCACCGACTCGCTGACTCTCTGTCAGCCTTAGCACGATCAGATTTTCTTCTGCATCGTAAAAATGGGCGCTTCCCGCATATATAAATAAATGAAACGAATACCGAACCTAGCGAGCCCTAAAAGCGATCGATATCCGTCGATACATAAAAACGACAAGACCGAGTTTATTTAACCCTTAGCGCTCCACGCGTTTCTCGAATACTACCTACCAGCAACTCCGGCACATTTTTGGAGCAAAGGGCCTGGGATAAAGGATCTCGGTTTTATTTTGAGCAGAAAAGATTACACGTCCTTGCGAAAGCGTTTGATTTTATTCATTTTATCTTGCTAAGTATAAAAATGGGCAAACAATGTTTTAATCGTAATGATACACAGGCTAAGCACGTTTTCACTACAAATAACAATTGCCAACGTCGACGAAAACACAGCATCTTCGGTGTAATCATGTTAAAAACATCGGGCTTCGCAGCAGAGCCTTCGGATTTACGGAACAAACGACGGATGTCTCCATAGCGGAGCCAACGGAGCGCTAAGGGTTGAACGTTCCGACATTTTTACTATATCGTATACTCGAACTGACAAAATTTATTCAACTTTTTCCTACGAAAGAGTCGTCGTAATTCGGATAATTTTGAACTAAAATCTACGAAACCGTTCATTCGATCTGCCTGTAATTTGATCGGTAAATTCAGCGTTAAACGAAATTAAATATCGCGTCTGTCGAGTGTTCAGCTTGGAAGAAGGGAGTCGCGTTAAGTAGTTGCCTTAGGATTATTTATAAAAGATGGTCGTTCGATGACCGAGTAACGCGGCGGAGTGTGAAACGCGCAGGGCCTATTTTTCGCAGTCGCGCACGCACCGCCTAGCAGGCGGCAGAGGCGAACAGGCCCATTGCCAGACCTAGATCGACCGATCGACGCGACGGATAGCTAGATGGACAGATAGTGGTTAAAAGAGGAAGGAACAGAGGTATGGCGCGGCGGCGTCGCGTCATTGCACGTGCGACGTGCACGCACATTGATACCGATATTTATGCCCGCCAGTTAATCATGTCAAAGTCGTTTGATTTGTCGTTGGCTTTTATGGAGGGGAATTAAAACGTTCATTTTGCCGCAGACACTCGGTAACAGTGTGCTCGTCCTGTTAGCGTTGTTGTTGCCGGTGCCGTCGTAATTGTTCTATGAATTATTTTCTGGGTGACCCTTGTGTGACGTAACGAAACGGAAGGGAAAAGCTTTTTGGAGAATTACGTGTCTCGTTTACTTCCGCGCGCGTTTCTCACGCGCTTTCCACGCGCTATCCGCGCGTTTTCCATTCGTTTTCGTGCGCAGCGACGAATAATCG